TTAGGAGATCCCTTGTTGTCTGAGTATGATGTCCTCCCAAGTGCAGTGTCTTGGTGGTGGGTCTGTAGGTGACTGTTGAGCCCTATCCTTGATCCGCATGTTCTTCCACAGTGAGGACATTGGTTTCCAGGTGGAAGGCAGTCCCAGTCAGGGTTGGCTTGAAGCGCCTTCTTCCTCTTGGCATATTTCTCCCTTTCGCCCTGCATTTGTGCCTCTTCAAATTCTGCAGCACTGCTGGTCACAGCAGACCTCCAGTTAGCACGCTCAAGGCCAGGGCTTCCCAGTTCTCAGTGTCTATGCTGGAGTTTTTAAGGTTGGCTTTGAGCCCATCTTTAAATCTCTTTTCCTGCCCACCAACATTCTGTTTTCCGTTCTTGACTTTGGAGTAGAGCAACTGCTTTGGGAGACGGTGGTCGAGCATCCAGACAACGTGGCCGGTCCAGCGGAGTTGATGGTGGAGGACCATCGCTTCAATGCTGGTGGTCTTTGCTTCTTCCAGCACGCTGACGTTTGTCCGCTTGTCTTCCCAGGATTTTCCGGAGGCAGCACTGATGGAATCGTTCCAGGAGTTGCATGTGACGTCTGTAGACAGTCCACATTTTGCAGGCATATAGCAGGGTAGGGAGGACAATAGCTTTATAGACAAGCACCTTGGTATCCCTACGGATGTCCCGGTCCTCAAACACTCTCTGCTTTATTCAGAAAAATGCTGCGCTTGCACAACTCAGGCGGTGTTGTATTTCGGTGTCGATGTTGACTTTGGTGGAGAGGTGGCTGCCAAGGTAGTGGAAATGATCAACATTTTCTAATGTTACACCATTAAGCTGTATCACTGGCATTGGAGAGGGGATGGCTGGTGACTGCTGGAAAAGCACCTTGGTTTTTTCAATGTTCAATGACAGGCCGAGCTTCTCGTATGCTTCTGCAAAGGTGTTTAGAGTGGCTTGTAGATCTTCTTCTGAATGCACACAGACAACATTGTCATCAGCATACTGGAGTTCTATAACAGATATTGTTGTAACCTTGGTTTTGGCTTTCAGTCTGCTGAGGTTGAATAGCTTGCCATCTGTCCGATAGATGATTTCCACTCCGGTGGGAAGCTTCCCATCAACAAGGTGAGGTATCATAGCGATGAAGATGGAGAATAACACATCCCTGTTTGACACCCGATTCCACTTTAAATGGGTCACTTTGGGAGCCATTGCTGTCCAAGACTGTTGCCATCATGTCATCATGGAGGAGCCGCAGGATGTTCACAAATTTGTTAGGGCACCTGATTTTTTGGAGGATGGTCCAGAGAGCGCTGTGATTCACTGTGTCGAATGCCTTTGCAAGGTCAATGAATGCCATGTACAGAGGCTGATTTTGTTCCCTGCATTTTTCTTGGAGCTGTCGTGCAGTGAAGATCATGTCCACTGTTCACTTGCAATTCAGGGTTCGCCGCAGTGCGAGGCTTGCTAACAAGAGAGAAGTTAGAGGTCAAAGGAATGTGTTCATGCTGGGAAAGTATATTAAACGAGCTGTTTGAAGTCAACTCTTTGTCAGTGCAACTTCTGCAAACACCCTGGTAACTTCTCTGGATTGCCTTGGCTTTTGGGCAATGCTCTTGGCTTCTTGGGACTTTGTCTTGTTCTTGGCTCCTTGGGACTCTGTCATGCTGCCATGGATTCTTGTTTGATCAATGCCTTTGGATTATGCTTCATGTTGTTTGCCATTGAACTTTGGAAACTTTGCCTTTGCATTTAAGACTCTGCTTTTGCCATTGAACTTCTGAAACTTTACATTCATGTTAAAGACTTTGCTTTTTCTTCAATAAACTACAAAACCTTCAGCTTTGGTGTGGTGTTCTGAGCAAGGTGAATCTATCCTGAGTTGCGACATCTGGAATTCCCCAGTTTTTGAGTGTTTTTCTTTTTTTACTGTTATGATTTTAGTTTTTTAAAATACAGGTAGCCAGAAACAATCAGGGCTAGCTAATCACCTCCCAACAAAGGATTCCCTCAGGCAGAAAGAAGCCAGACCTTGAAACTGCTAGGCCATACAATGCTAATCAAGGTGGCCAAGTTGCAACATCTGGGGAATTCCAGATGTCGCAACTCAGGATAGATCCACCTTCACACCTACCTCAAACAGACATGAGTTCTTTCTCCCACCCTGGACATTATTCCACAGGTATAGAAACCCAATTTTCCTAATTTCCAACAGACCTCACCACCTCTGAGGATGCCTGCCATAGATGTAGGCGAAATGTCAGGAGAAAATGCTTCTGGAACATGGCCATACAGCCCAGAAAACTCACAGCAACCCAGTGATTCCGGCCATGAAAGCCTTTGACAATACATTAATTTCACACTGTCATTTGATATCCTAGACTGTTTGAAATAAATAATCAGAAACTCCCCGTTAAAATGAAGTATAAAACTATAGTCAGGGAATGTTTTTCTGATTTGACTCTTAACCCGTGAAGATGCGGGCAAAGGGACTATGTGCGAAGGCAAAAGCATAGCCAAATTATATATCCATCTAGAAGAGGAAAAAAAGGGAACAGAAACCTGCATTTCAATGACCAGCCACTTACCAATATTTTAACTTCACTTTAGTCAAGTCATAAACTTCAATCACCTAAAAAGAAAGGATAAATATTAAATATGAAAGACCAATAATGAGCTCTGGGGAATCTGAAAATATGAACAAGGAAGAACACAATAAATACGCCCGAATAGTTCCTTGTGAGCTTAAGGGGATGAAAAGAGTCCATGGTTTGAGTCCATGGTAGTCTCTGGATGTAGGTGAACTACAACTCCCAAACTCAAGGTCAATGCTTTGTGGTTAAACAATGAGACGACGTGAATGGCTTTTTGTATTATTGATATTGTTGATGTTCTTGATGAGGATGTTTTTGATTATTGCTAGATGATATTTTAGTTTGTGTCTTGAATTTTGGATCTGTTCTTTCTATGTTGTACACCACTGTGAGTCGCCCCTGGGCTGAGAACAGCGGTATATAAGCAAAGTAAATAAATAAATAAATAATGCTCACCAAACCCTTCTAGTGTTTTCTATTGGTCATGGGAGTCCTGTATGCCCCGGTTGGTTCAATTCTATCATGCTATGTGATTGTAGGTGAAATATAAATCCCAGCAACTACAACTCCCTATCTATCTCTATCTATCGATCGATTGATCAATCGCTGGATGGCTCTTTGTCAGGAGGACTTTGATTATGTTTTCTTGCCCTGATGAAGGGAGTTGGATTGGATGGCCTTATGTATTTCCTGTTGGTCATGGAGGTTCTGTGTGGAAAGTTTGCTCCAATTCTGTCGTTCATGGGGTTCAGAATGCTCTTTGATTGTAGGAGAACTATAAATCCCAGTAACTACAACTCCCAAATGTCAAGGTCTATTTTCCCCAAACTCTGTGTTCGTAGTTGGGCATATGGAATATTCGTGCCAAGTTTGGTCCAGATCCATCATTGTTTGAGTCCACAGTGCTCTCTGGATGTAGGTGAACTACAACTCCCAAACTCAAGGTCAATGCCCACCAAATCCTTCCAGTATTTTCTGTTGGTCAAGGGAGTTCTGTGTGCCAAGTTTGGTTCAATTCCATCATTGGTGGAGTTCAGAATGCTCTTTGATTGTAGGTGAACTATAAATCCCAGCAACTACAACTCCCAAATGACAAAATCATATTTTTTTGAGTGATGGTCACTCCTTGTGTTGTGAGACGTTTTGTTGCCAAATTTGGTGTGATTTCGTTCATTGGTTCTTTTGTTTTTAAGCTACTCATTACGCACAGAGCATTTTTAGATAGATAGATAGATAGATAGATAGATAGATAGATAGATAGATAGAACCTGGAATCATAGGATTGAAAGGGACTCCTAAAGGTCATCCAGTCTAGCCCTTCTTTTTAGTTTCTGCACAAAAGTGTTCTTTATATGCTATTTCTCTATCTGGCTGTCTGTTGTTGTGTGCCGTCAAGTCATTTCCAAAGTGAGGCAATTTGTCTTGCAGAGGTTTGCCATTGCCTTTGAATCTTTGCTCCGTGTGTTTAAATATGCCTATTTTATAGAAATGGGTTTAATATACGCCTTTTACTGAATTTTATTTATTTCGTATCAAAAGCATTGGATAAATTAGTATAAAACTGATAAAAATAGAAGGAGCGCAGGAGGCTAAATATCTTTTGACCAAAAACGGGCAACAGTAATGGCATTGTCTGTAGCCTCCAACAATGTATTTATTTATTTGTTTACAGTATTTATATTCTCACCCCGCAGGGGACTCAGGGTGGATTACAATGTACATATACATGGGTTAAGAAGATTTGGGGGGAATTCACCATGCTTTATAGGAGTTGTAGGTACTGGGATGTACCACTGAACACAGACCACTTACTATAATGCAATCTGAGCCATGCCACATGCACAATGGAGGACCTTCTTACAGTGACCCCAGAGGCACTCCAAGTGGCCAGCTTCTGGTCAAAGGATATCTAGCATTATTTTATTTTATTTTATTTACATACACACACACACACACACACACATCTTTTTTCTTTTCTTTCTCTCCCTTTTCTTTTCTTTTTTCCTCCTATATTATGTGTATAGATTATTATCATTATTATGCCAAGTTTTAAACTTTGTGTGTGGGTCTCTTATGCATTATAACTGTATTCTCAATCTGATTCTGATAAATCAATAAATAGCTTGGATTCAGCAGCATATCCTTGATCCTGGACGAAATGGGAAAGAAAATGAGTTTGTATATCCACAAACACTGCAATGGAGCCGAATGTGGTAGAACAAACGGAAAGAGGGTGCACAAATCTGATGAAAGCAACAACCAAACCAAAACAAGGGCAGAAATATGGGGCAGAAGCAAACCATGTCAACTATCTCGCAAGAGAGGCCATCCATTTATTAAGCAGATTAATTTTCAGTCCATCAATGCATTTAATTAACCAATTAAAGGGAACACTACAGCATCTTAGGAAAGGCAACAGTTCGAATGAGTTTAATGAAGGCAACAGATTTCCTTGGGCAACAAATGCAGAAAAATCATCACTGATTGCGAGGGGGAAACTCTTAAATACATTGAATCGGGATGAATAGACAGATTGGCTCATATAGCAGTGCCTCTGCACACATGTCCACTTTGAAGGAGGAAGCTCTGGGAAGCATTGTATAATCTCTGTTTATGCTTAATCTGTAAAGAGATGTAAATACAGTCCCACAACTAATCAAGAGTACAGTATCTACTAAGTAGATACATCACCTCTTGTTGTTCCATAGTAGGCATGGAAAACGTTCTAACTTGGGGGGACCACATGGTAGCACTCCCTACTAGAAGGACAGGCTGCCCGGAGATGGAAGGGAGGAAGGGAGGAAGGAAGGATGAAAGGAAGGAAGGAAGGATGAGAAAGGGAGAGAAGGAAGAGGAGAAAAGAGAGGAAAGGAAGGAAGGAAGGAGAAAAGGAGGGAGGGAGGGAAGAAGGAAGGGAGGAGAAAGAGGAGAGAGAGGGGAGGGAAGGAGAGGAAGGAAAGGATGGAAGGGAAGGAGGAAGGAGGAAAAAAGAAGAAGAAGGGAGGGAAGGAAGAAGGAAGGAAAGAAAGGAGAGGAAAAGGAAAGAGAGAGAGGGAAGGAAAGGAAAGAGAAGGAAGGGTGGGAAGGAAGGAAGAGAGGAAGGAAGGAAGGAAAAGAGGGAGAGGAAGGAAGGAGGAAAGGATGGAGGAAGGAAGTGAAGGAAGAAGGAAAGGAAGGACTAAAGGGTGAGAAGGGAGGGAGAGAGGAAGAAGAAAGGGAGGGAGGAGAAGGAGGAAAGAAAAGGAAGGAAGGAAGGAAGGAAAGAAGGAGAGAGGAAGGAAGGAGGAAAGAGGAAAGAAGGGAAAGAGAAGGAGGGGAAAAGGAAGGAAGGAAGAGGGAAGAAAAGGGAAGGAAGGAAGAAAAGGAAGAAGGAAGGAACAGACCCTGCAGGAGTGAGTCTGATTGAAAACAGCAAGAATTATGAATTACGGAAGTTATCTTACTGGAGGTAAAGAATTGACGACAAACTGAAGAGAGGGAGGCTGGATGCCCTATGGAATTCCGTAGTGATTACAGGATGAAATTAATTCATGACGGGATGGAGTGATTTCACTAGGTCATACTGACGGAAAGAGAGCAGTCAGGAAAGACAAAATGGTACCGAAGAAGGACGGAAGTAAGAATTATGGCATGCTCTAATGAAGTTCAAAGGAGAGCCACATGATAGAGGGAAGTATAAGGATTACAGTGTTGGAATGGGCAGGAACGGCGTAGTGAGGCAAGAAAGGAGTGACGTCAAGGACAGGATTTAAGGCAGGGAAGGATAAAGGAAAGAGAGAAGGAAGGAAAGACAAAAGGGAAGGAAAGATGAAAGGGAGGAAGGGAAGGAAGGAAGGAGGGAGAAAGAGGGAGGTAAGGAAGGAAGGGAAAGATGGAAAGAAAGAGAGGAAGGATGAAAGTGAAAAAGGAGAAGGAGTGAGGGAAGGAGGAAGGAAAGAGAAAAGGAAGGACAGGATGGTGAGAGAGAGGAGGGCCTGAGAAAAGAGCCTAAGGGGCCGCATCCAGCTCCTGGGCCTGGGTTTGCCCATATCTGTTCTATAGCATTGAATCATGGCAGTTAATGCAGTGTTAAACAGCATCCATTCCTACAGATGAAAGGATTTCAGAGTTGGTGATGTGTTTAGATTAGTGACATCAACCAGATCTGCAAATAAACCAGATTGCATTGGTCTTTATTACGTGTCCAGTAGCCATTTCTTCAAACTTTTACTCCATTCATGATTAACAGCAAGTTGCAATTTAAAGTGATGCCTTGCCATGTGGTCAGCATTCATCTGCTGCTCAGAAGCAGTCTTTAGTCAGCATCAGAAGCCAAGGAAAACGTTTTGCTCCTCTGGATTTAGTACGAGGTGCATTTACCAAGTACCCATGATAGATCTGCTTAAAAACCAGTTGTGAATGTTTAATAGCATCCTATTGATTTGTACACAACTGACCATTTACTAAAGCACTTTACAGTCTACTAAAAAAAGCAGAGTTATGAGTACTGTGTCAGAAGGAAATGCCTCTCACAAAAAGAGAAGAGGGCTAAGAGAAGAGGGCTTCGGTGTTTCAGTCAGTTCAAGACTCTATGGTTTTTAAGCAATCAAAACGATATGGTGACAAGAATTTGGTTTAAACTTTGGGGTAAAGAAGAATGATAGTAATCCAGTGAATTATCCAGTGAACTTCTGATGCAAGATGATTGTTAGGGATTCCTCATCTTTGGAGGAGGAAGGGGAGCAGGGAAGTGCTCAGGAATTGGAGGGAGAAGAAGAATCAGACGATGAGGGTTTGAATGTGCCTACATTTCTAGAGAGACTAAAAGAGACAGAGCACAGATGGCGTTCTGCTAGGATAGCTGCTAAAAACGCTGAGCTAATTGGGAGACTCCCTAGCACCTCCTGTGTGGGGAATTCAGCGCTATGAATCAGTAGCAGGAGCAGTCAGCTTTTGCTGGTAACAACGACCCTGACACCAATGTTTTCACTCTATGGAATCTGCTTTGGACTTAGTTCATTGTCCGTTGTCTGATGGAAGACTGGTGTTTCTTTTGGGACTTTGTAAGAGACTTTAATTTGTGTCTGGATTAACACTTCCTTGTTTTCTCTTGCATTTTCCAATTGCATTTGCTTATCCTTTGTGGTTGCTGAAGTAAAGCATTTTTCTTTGACTTTCAACATCGTCTAAAGGCTGTTTTTGAAGAGCAATTCAGGACAAAGATAACAGGGAGGCACTGCTAAAAGGAGAGTGGGCGGGGTCATGCAAATTCTACACCAATGGGGTGAGTCAGAGACATTGGGATGTCTGTGGTTGAGGAAACACATAAAATCTAGGATGAAATGTTCCCCAATTAAAGCCTTCACTTGGGTGGTGGGCAGTGTGGTGTTTGTAGAGGACACTGGCTCTTCGACATGTTCATAGTGCTCACTATAACCTGCAATGTCATTAGAGGGAGGGTCATTGGTGTCTCCTGAATAGTGGGAGCTATAGCTGTTTATGGAGAAAGGAGCTTGTCTATGGAAGTGGACACTCCAGCTACACACACACAGACATATTTTCACTTTTATTATGTGTATAGATTTTAAATTCAGTATTTCGCACTGTATTTAATAATCTGGTTGCGATGTATTTATTTGTTTGTCCTGAATGAGAAAGACCTATGGTCTAAGTGTTAAATAAACTACTACACAAGGATTAGTGATGGAAGTCTACGTGGTGGGTTCACGGGTGTAAGGTTGGAGGGAATGGGTGTAGCTGGATGTTTGTAGTATTTTAATGGTGTATTTTGCATTGTATTCAGGTCTGTAGTATGGGGATGTGATAGGTGGGATATACACATTAATCATTATTAGGTCACTGTTCCTGTAACTGAACCTTACAGCTAGCACTTGTGGTATATCATCTCCCCCATATAATTTGGTCCCTTTCCAGTTTAGTTCTGTTTTCAACAGGATCCCTAGCCCCCCAGAAGCTCTCCCTTTATTTTTTTATTTTTGGGCATTACTATACCAGATATCATATCCTGGGAGCTGTAACTGATCCCCATCTACCACCCATGATTCTTGCAGAGCTATTAAATCAAAACTATTAAGAAAATTAACCATTTCAATATTTGAGTTAACCCCTGCCCCTGCCACATTCCACGTCAGGATCTTAATACAATTCATGACATCTCTAAGTTCAAAAGTATCTTCATTTTGGTGAGACTGTGCAGATTGGATTAGTCAGTTCTGATCTGTTGGAGGGTCAGCAGCAATGAAAGCACACAACAACAACAATCCTATCTCATCAGCCAAAAGCAGACCCACACTTTCCACTGAAATACTAATAAGTTTATATTTGTTAGAATTGTTCTTCATTTTAATTATTGTATTGTTTTAAAGTGTTTTTTGCACTACAAATAAGATATGTGCAGTGTGCATAGGAATTCATGGTTTTTTCAAATTATAATCCAGCTCTCCAACAGTTTGGGGGACTGTGAATTGGCCCTTTGTTTAAAAAGTTTGAGGATCCCTGTTCTTTATGGTGGGCCTGGGTTTGTTGGCCCCGGGGGTGAGGGTTTGCTTGGGCCTGAGTTAAGCTCAGACGAAAGGCCTGAGCTGTTTCAAGAAGATTCACAAGGCCACATTCCCAGGAGAGGCCCTTCACAGCTTTTCTCAGAACAACTGTCTGAATATGATTGGTCAAGTTAATGAGGGAGAAGATAATGAAAGCCTGAATAGAAAACAAAGTTTTAGTAAACAAAGTCTTCAGAGACTGAGATGATCAGTTCATCTACAGCAAAAGAGAGACAACATTTATTTATTATTTAGGTCATTTGTACCCCTTCCTACTTGACCTCCGCAGAGGGACTCAGGGCAGCTAACAGACCAGCACCCTATGGTGCCCACAACCAAAACATAAATATACAATTTAAATAACAATATAGCAATAAAAGTAAAAACAGTGTAAAACAGTATAAAAACAATCAAACAGTCAACAGTTGCCAGTGTATGTCATTGTCCAAAGAGCAGTCAGTCAGTTCATAACAACCCTTTTTCTGGTGGGAAGGTCATGAGAAATGCTTTCCTTTCAATTTTGGGATCTGAAAAAGCTTTATAATGATTCATGGAAAAGAGTTGCCTCAGTCGGGTCAACGTTGTTATTTTATCATGGTCTTGTTTTCAAGTGCTCTGAGTTTCAAGTACCAAGTTTCTGCCAAGCTTAAGATTTGCCTATGAGATTTTCCTGCTGTCTTGTTTCATGGATTCAAGGCCCTAGGTTCATGGATTTTATGTACTCATGGATCTTGTTTTCCTTTGAAGCGTATGGACTTTCATATATTAGACCTTTACTGGTTTTGTTATTTTTTATTGCTTTGCCTACATATATTTTTCAATAAACTGCTTGCTGATTTTACCAAGCTCATGTTGTGTTTAAGGTGAGAGCTGTTCCTGCTCTGGTGTATGACAGTCACACACACAAGCTGTAAATAATCGAAGACCTAAACAATTACAACATTGTTCCCCAGACCAGTGTTCCTATATATATATATATATATCATATCATATCATATCATATCATATCATATCATATCATATCATATCATATCATATATTAGACCATTACTGTTTTTGCTATACTTAATGCTTTGCTTTCAAATATTCTTCAATAAACCGCTTGCTGATTTTACCAAGCTGGTGTGGTGTTTAAGGTCAGAGGTGTTCCTGCTCTGGTGTACAACATCACACACACAAGCTGTAAATAACTGAAGACATAAGCAATTACAACATTGTTCCCCAGACCAGTGTTCCTATATATATATTTCATATATTAGACCTTTACTGTTTTTTCTATATTTATTGCTTTGCTTTCCAATATTCTTCAATAAACTGCTTGCTAATTTTACCAAGCTGGTGTGATGTTTAAGGTCAGAGGTGTTCCTGCTCTGGTGTACGACAGTCACACACACAAGCTGTAAATAACTGAAGACATAAGCAATTACAACATTGTTCCCCAGACCAGTGTTCCTATATATATATTTCATATATTAGACCTTTACTGTTTTTTCTATATTTATTGCTTTGCTTTCCAATATTCTTCAATAAACTGCTTGCTAATTTTACCAAGCTGGTGTGGTGTTTAAGATCAGAGGTGTTCCTGCTCTGGTGTACGACAGTCACACACACAAGCTGTAAATAACTGAAGACATAAGCAATTACAACATTGTTCCCCAGACCAGTGTTCCTATCCTTGTCGCAGTAAAAATGTGCACACTTAAGCCTTATACAAGGGAAGGGAAATTGTGTTTTTCCAAGTTTAATCATTTACCTTAAGTCTTTGATTGAAAGCATCAAACAGCAGTTTGATTCCGTCCTGAGTCAGGTTAAGGATGAGGTCATGGCTAAGAGGAGACTGGAAAACAAAAGGAGACGTTACTTTCCAAATGGAAGAGGGAACGTTTTCCAAAGCCATCTTTCCTACGTGACCGAAAGCCAAGCAAAAGAGCCCTGAGATTGGTTTCTCCAAATTGGCACGAAGAATGGTCACTCGCTCCATGAATAATAATACTCCCTGCCAGAATAAAGGCTGTAATTGCAAAGTCCTTTCTATTTACCCATTTAAAATAGAATTTCAAGGACTTTGGGTAAGATTTACATGGCAGTTGAGTCGCATATGGCTCACTGCCTTCACAAAAGGAAAAAAAAAATCAAATCTGGCCTTTCTCTCTCAGGTCAAACTTCTCAAACACAACACAGAGGAGAGGGTTTTCTCACACTATCAGCAGAAATAATAATAATAATAATAATAATAATAATAATAATAATCTTTATTTATACCCCGCCACCATCTCCCCAACGGGGACTCGGAGCGGCTTACATGGGGCCAAGCCCGAACAACAAACTACAAAATAACAATACAAATTGCAGTAAAATAAACAACATAACATTAAAATGTAAAACATCAAAACATGTAAAGCAATATACACAGAACATAGGAACCAAACATAATGACAGAGAGCGGGCTGCATGTACATAAAATTATTTTAAAACTATTTAAAATTATTTTAAAATGGGAATATGGCTTGAATGGGGAAACAGACTTCTCTTGATCTAGACATTATCCCTCCTATTGGTGAGGCCTTGAATCACATTGGGTTTTTAGCTGCCACAAAACACCCTTGACTCATGGTCAATGTTTTCAGACTGGGCACAATGACATTACCTGATTGCTGTAAAGATCTGAAAAACTCCTATCACCTTACCCAGCCCTTTAATAAATAGGGAAATATATATGATTTTCACCTTTCTGAATCCTATTACATTATATCCCACCCACACAAAATGTTTAAATATGCTTTATACCCGAGGTCTTAATACCAAGCTCAAGGTGCTCTTACTGCCTATTACAGGGAAAACCAGCTGATTCCTAATCCATCTAAAACACAGACATATGCTTTTCACCTTAAGAACAGACAAGCATCCCGAGCTCTGAGGATGACCTGGGAAGGAATCCCACTGGAGCATTGCAGAGCACCCAAATACCTGGGAGTCACTCTGGACCGTGCTCCGACCTACAAGAAGCACTGCCTGAATATCAAGCAAAAAGTGGGTGCTAGAAACAATATCATACGAAAGCTGACTGGCACAACTGGGGATCACAACCAGACACAGTGAAGACATCTGCCCTTGCGCTATGCTACTCTGCTGCTGAGTATGCATGCCCAGTGTGGAACACATCTCACCACACTAAAACAGTGGATGTGGCTCTTAATGAGAGCTGCCACATTATCACAGGGTGTCTGCGCCCTACACCACTGGAGAATTTACACTGTTTAGCCGGTTTAGCGGTGACATCCGCTGGGAAGTAGCAACCAATAGTGAAAGGACCAAGGCAGTGACATCTCCAGCTCATACCCTCTTTGGGTATCAGCCAGCACGTCAACAACTTAAATCAAGTGGTAGTCCTTTGTGATATTATACATTTTTCTCAAATCTAGACATAGTTTTCTAAGATCTACAGAGACACTTGTTGGAACACCTCAGCAAGCAAGAGTCCAAAAGTGGCAGGCTCAAACCCAGAACCTCAACCAATGGCTGATACCAAATGAGAGACTCCCCCCTGGGCACGCAGAGGACAGGGCGACTTGGAAGGTGCTGAACAGACTGTGCTTTGGCACCACGAGATGCAGAGCCAAGCTTCAGATATGGGGCTACAAAGTGGAATCCACGACATGCGAGTCTGGAGAAGAGCAAACCACCTACCGCAATGCAACCTGAGCCTTGCCACATGCACCATGGAGGACCTTCTTGCGGCAACACCAGAGGCACTCCAAGTGGCCAGATACTGGTCAAAGGACATTTGATCAGCTACCAAGTTTGCAAAATTTGTGGTTTTTTTTATTTGTTTGTTTGTTTTGTTCTGTTAGAAATGTAATACAATGTTCTGGTTGCAGATGACACGATAAATAAATATTGAATTCTTGCCATTAATATGTTGTAAACCGCCCTGAGTCCTCCCAGGGGTGAGAACAATGTGATGTGGCGGCAAAAAAAGCCAATGGGATTTTTGGCCTGCATCAATAGGAGCATAGTGTCTAGATCTAGGGAAGTAATGCTACCCCTCTATTCTGCTTTGGTTAGACCACACCTGGAATATTGTGTCCAATTCTGGGCACCACAATTCAAGAGAGATATTGACAAGCTGGAATGTGTCCAGAGGAGGGCGGCTAAAATGATCAAGGGTCTGGAGAACAAGCCCTATGAGGAGCGGCTTAAGGAGCTGGGCATGTTTAGCCTGAAGAAGAGAAGGCTGAGAGGAGATATGATAGCCATGTATAAATATGTGAGAGGAAGCCACAGGGAGGAGGGAGCAAGCTTGTTTTCTGCTTCCCTGGAGACTAGGACGCAATGGAACAATAGCTTCAAACTACAAGAGAGGAGATTCCATCTGAACATGAGGAAGAACTTCCTGACTGTGAGAGCCGTTCAGCAGTGGAACTCTCTGCCCTGGAGTGTGGTGGAGGCTCCTTCTTTGGAAGCTTTTAAACAGAGGCTGGATGGCCATCTGTCAGGGGTGATTTGAATGCAATATTCCTGCTTCTTGGCAGAATGGGGTTGGACTGGATGGCCCATGAGGTCTCTTCCAACTCTTTGATTCTATGATTCTATATAAATATACTAAATAAATAAATAGGGAAATATATATGATTTTCACCTTTCTGAATCCTATTACATTATATCCCACCCACACAAAATGTTTAAATATGCTTTATACCCGAGGTCTTAATACCAAGGAGTACTCAGAAATGGGTTTATATCTGTGTGAAAATTTAAAAATCCAGTCCTAAGTATTGCCACGTTTCTCTCCCCCCCCCCCCCCCCCCCCCCCCCCCCCGGCTTCTCCTGCCTTCCTCATATTTATGCTGCAAGATACCAAGCACAGCTATTATTTCTATTTCAAAAATATGTTCTCCTCAAGCAGCAAAAGCTGTCAACAAGAATCTTGACAACACTGGCCAGGATGTCAGAAAAATATTAGCAGGCAGCAGGCTTTGGTAGCATATCATTAACCCAATGACGCAAGCCTTGTTCGAAGGGTTTCTGCACAAAATGCTTATGAACGGATGCCAGAGCCGAAAGGAGCGCAGAAGAGCTTTGAAGTAAGGCTCGATTATGACTGCTGCCTGCAGCTTGCTTTCCTCCTCAGCAAATCTTATAATCAGGCAAGAACGGCTTCCAAAAAGCATGTATATCTCGCAGCAACCAAAACAGGGTTTCAGATCCGTCCCAATCCAACAGCTCCATGTTTAGGGCTGCAAAAATAATTGGAAATGTCTCCCCAAACGTATTCTGTATCTCGATAAAGGGGAAAGAAGAAAGGCTCAACAGGGTGGCAATACACAGATGTTGTAAGGCTAAGCTCCAGCAAGGCAGCCTCAGTTGGAGGCATGGTTATCATTCCTGATTAGCATGCAGAAGAAATAGATGTGAATTATGCATAAGATTTTTACACTTGCACCATTTGTATTGTGATACCGTATATACTCGAATATAAGCTGAGTTTTCAGCCCCTTTTTAGGCTAAAAAAGCCTCCCTTAGCTTACACTCGAGTCAAGGTTATTTATTATTTTACTCTGTCATCATTATCATCATTATTATTATATTTACATTATTTTTCTCTATTATTTTTATTACATTTATTATTTTTCTCTTTTTTACTGTTATTATTGCATGTATTATTTTACTCTATTTCTTCTTCTTACATTTACATTATTTTTCTCTATTATTTTATTACATTACTCTATTTTTATTATTACACTTATTTTTATTCCATTATTGTTATTATTACATTTACATTATTTTACACTATTATTTTTCTCTATTATTTTTATTACATGTATTATTTTTCTCTTTAATATTGTTATTATTACATGTATTATTTTACTCTATTTCTTCTTCTTACATTTACATTATTTTTCCTCTATGACTTTTATTACATTGATTATTACTCTATTTCTTATTATTACATTCATTTTTACTGCATTATTATGGTTATCATTATATTTACATTATTTTACACTATTATTTTACGGACACAAAAAAATAGTATGTCACAATAAACGAGATATATATGCTGGATTTAGGCTGAAAAAGCCCCCCTTGGCTTATAGTCGAGTCAAGGTTATTTATTATTTTACTCTGTCATCATCATCACCATCATCATTATTATTATCATCACATTTATTATTTTACTCTATTTATTATTATTACTATTATTATTACATTTATATTATGTAGGCTTATACTCGAGTCAAGGTTATTTATTATTTTACTCTGTCATTATTATTATTATTATTACATTTACATTATTTTTCTCTATTATTTTTATTACATTTATTATTTTTCTCTTTAATATTGTTATTATTACATGTATTATTTTACTCTATTTCTTCTTCTTCTTACATTTACATTATTTTTCTGTATTATTTTTATTTCATTGACTAGCCGTATCCTGCCATGCATTGCTTTGGCCCCACATGGGGGTTCTGTGTGGGAGGTTTGGCCCAATTCTATCATTGTTGGGGTTCAGAATGCTCTGTGATTGTAGGTGAACTATAAATCCCAGCAACTACAACTCCCAAATGTCCAGATTCTATTTCCCCCAAACTCCACATTTGGGCATATTGAGTATTCGTGTAGAGTTTGGTCCAGATTCATCATTGTTTGAGTCCACAGTGATCTCTGGATGTAGGTGAACTACAACTCCAAAACCTAAGGACACTGCCCACCAAACCCTTCCAGTATTTTCTGTTGGTCATGGGAGAACTGTGTGCCAAGTTTGGTTCAATTCCATCGTTGGTGGGGTTCAGAATGCTCTTTGATTGTAGGTGAACTATAAATCCCAGCAACTACAACTCCCAAATGACAAAATCAATTTTTTGAGTGAAGGACATACATTGGGTTGTTCAGTGTATGCTGTCCAAATTTGGTGTCAATTCGTTCAGTGGTTTTTGAGTTCTGTTAATCCCACAAACTAACATTACATTTTTATTTATATAGATTATTACTCTATTTTTTATTATTGCATTTATTTTTACTCCATTATTATTGTTATTATTACATTTACATTGTTTTACACTATTATTTTACTGACACAAAAACATAGTATGTCGCAGCAAACGAGATATATACGAGATATATATGGTGGATTTATTTATATATGGTGGATGTATTTATTATTATTATTATTATTATTAAATTTATTATTTTACTCTATTATTATTAATATTATTATTACATTTTATTATTTTCCTCTCTTTATTATTAATGGGATGATATGTAAGCACATTTACATTGAAGAAGGTTAGAATAATGTTTTAATCAGAGTTGGACAGTCTTAAGTGACATTAAGTCTAATCAAGTCCGACTTGGGAGAGTAGCAATCATCTCTGTAGACACCTCCAAGGTCATGTGGCCGGCATGACTACATGGAGTGCCGTTATCTTCCCGCCGAAGCAGTACCTATTGATCTACTATTGATCCACTCACAGTTGCATTTTTCAAATTACTAGGGTGGCAGAAGCTGGGGCTGACAACGGGAGCTCACCTCATCCCACAGATTCAAACTTCCGACCTTCTGGTCAGCAAGTTCTGCAGCTTAGCGGTTTAACCCGCTGCACCACTGTGGCCCTTTTTCCTGCTTCATACTCCCCTATCTATCTCAGCATCTCAGAAGCATTCTCTCTTGACGTTTCGCCTGCATCTATGGCAGGCATCCTCAGATGTTGTAATGTCAGAAGAGAAGGCTTCTGGAACATGGCCATACAGCCCGGAAAACTCACAGCAACCGGCCATGAAAGCCTTCGACAGATAATACAGTGGTCCCTTTGTGGTTCGCTTCTTGCGGACTCACTGTTTCGCGGTTTTTCAATGTGGGCTTAAGAGTGTTTGTCTGTATGGAGAGGCTGCCTCTGCAGATAAAGCCAGGGCCAAGGATAACGTGAAAAAATGTAATTATTATTATTATTATTATTACAACATTTATTATTTTACTCTATTATTAATATTATTATTACATTTTATTATTTTCCTCTCTTTGTTATTAATGGGAGGATACATAAGCACATTTACATTGAAGAAGGTTAGAATAATGTTAGAATAATAATAACACGTTCAAGGAGGGTTATGTAGTGTGTAATTGTTATTATTATTATTATTATTACGTTTTATTATTTTCCTCTCTGTTATTAATGGGAGGATATGTAAGCACATTGACATTGAAGAAGGCTAGAATAATGTTAGAATAATAATAACACGTTCAAGGAGGGTTATGTAGTGTGTAATTATTATTATTATTACATTTTATTATTTTCCTCTCTTTGTTATTAATGGGAGGATACTGTTGCAACCCAGAGCAGGAAACGAGAGCCTAAGACCCCAATCCACCACACTTGACTGTGAGAAAAAAACAATCCCTTTTTATTGATGAAAAATGGTTACAAAATAGAGAATAATGCAAAGTCAAGAAGCCACAGTAAAAATCAGCAATCAGAAATCCATGAACTAGATCAAAAAACCAAAAGCAACACTGTAAAAACCTGGAACCTGTTAGCAATCCACTAACCGTACTTGGAGCACCAGAAGCCTCTTGGGATGAAGGCCACAGGAAACGGGAGATCTGCCAAGGTAATGCCTCAGTCTAAAACGATGCCTGATCTAAAGAGTCAACCCAGCGGGAGGCACTTAAAGCCGAGGAAACTGTTTCGTGACACGCCTCCAGGCTTTGAAGCCCTTGTTTCTTTTTTTTTAAATCTGCTTGACCTTCGCAGACTCTGCGATTCACTCCTGTTTTTCCAAATCTGTCCTCTTCTATCCTCATTAAGGAGAGCTATCTCTGGAGAGCTATCACCGCTTGGCTCTGAAACATTCTCATGAGAATGTGTACTTTCACTTTCCAAGCCTTTCAAGCCTGCAGGAGTTTCTTCTACACTGACCTCAGAATCAACATTTTCATTAGCATCAGAAAATACATTTTCAGTAGCATCAGGAAATACAATCAGAGAATCAGGTTCAGGTTCAGACCCAGGCTGAACCCCAACAGATACATAACCACATTTACATTGAAGGTTAGAATAATGTTAGAATAATAATAACACGTTCAAGGAGGGTTATGTAATTATTATTATTATTATTATTACTGTGAACACAACGATGGACAGGGTATAGGGATTTTATCTTTGAAGATCCCCACCGCTATCACCAATTGCGAGGAGGTGCTTGTGTGTTGCTGAGGTTGGCAACGGCAGGCCCTAATAATGGAGGTATTTTACCTCAGGCACTTTTTAATCTCACCGCTGCCACCAATTGTACAGATGTGGATGTTATGGAGGGAATTTACCTCAGGACTCAATTGTGTAGAAGAGTATATTATGGAGGAGGCCAATTATTATTAGTAAATTAAGGTAACTGCCACCAACGTGAGGTATTTGAGGTACCACCGATGAGATCTGGCTCTACAGACGCAGATTAGTTGAGACGGTTTTCAACAAAAGATAACAAGTTTATTGTGTACAAAACTTATGGTTGCAGGCTGTTAAATAACTTATGGAACTTTGAATATCACGTGGTTTATAATACAGTCCACTCTTCCAGATAACACAGCTTGTGGCTAACTTTCACTGAGGTGAAGCTCTCTAGTGAACAATGTTTCACTACTATAAATAGCCTTTCAATTTGATCTTCCCTCGATCAAATCTCTGATCTCTAGTCCTTCCTTAACTAGGGATCTTAACTAGGCTTCCTTTAGTCTTCTTTGACTAAAGAATCTGGCCAGGTTTCTTTCTTCAGCCCTCCTAGACTGAAAAAACACCAGCCGCTCACACACAAGCCTCTCTCTCAGGCCTTTCCGAGCCTCTCCCTCTCCTTTTTAAAAACACACATAACTTTTCCTGCTTGGCTCCACCCACTTCTCCCTCTCATGAGCTAGCCAGCCTCATCTCCTTGTCAACGCTCACTGTGGATTCAAACCAGATGACTTCAGTTTTAGCTACTGTTACAAACCCAAATACATATTCTAACAGTTAAACACAAACATAATAACAATGACTTCTGCACAATTACATTTTATTATTTTCCTCTCTTTGTTATTAATGGGAGGATACGTAACCACTAGGCTTGGGTAACCACTGAAAAATTTGGTTCTAAACTCGTTTTGTTTTTAGGGGGCCCTTGCGTTTCGTTTTTTTTAATAATTCCGAAATTTTCATTTAAAATTTTTTGAAATTTACGAAATTTCGTAAAATTACGAATCGATTCGTTAATGGCGGATGAGATTGCGCAATATGCTAAAAAAACCTCCAAATGGGACAGGAGGACCTTCTGAAGCTTCCCTCTCCCTCTGTTGTTGACTGTTGGTGTGATAAAACAAACAACTATAAAACTTGCACCAGACATGCGAAAATAATTACGAAATAATTACAAATTATGAATTAATTACGAAATAATTTCGAAATAAATTGAAAAAATTGTTTCGAATCTTAATTACTCCTCACACTATTCCAGCATGGCTCAATATTGGATCATAAGCTAATTTAAATACGAATTAATAACGAATTACAAAATTAACGAACGAAACCGCCCAAGCCTAGTAACCACATTTACATTGAAGAAGGTTAGAATAATGTTAGAATAATGATAACACGTTCAAGGAGGGTTATGTAGAGTGTAATTGTTTGTGGAGGGTTTATAAAAACTTAAAATAGCGTATAACTACTAAAATAGTATAACTACTAAAATAATGTAGAAATATTAGCATTCGTACTTTGTGGATTTTCACTTTTTGCGGGTGGTCCCGGAACGTAACACCTGCGATAAGTGAAGGAAGACTGTATATCCGTTTTCAAAAAGCTTAACACTCTCAAAACTGCAAACAATGACAACCTCAAGTCACACAGTAAACCTCAGATTGAAAACAAATATTGATAATGACTATATATATACAGAAGTAGCATGTCATTTTGTAGAAAGCCGCATAGTCCAGGATGTGGGAGCTACGAAGCAGGGCCGGGTGTCTTGGGAGCAGAGAACACAACTAATGGCATTGCACAATATTGACCAATCCTCCCACCTTTCGCAGGTCATTTATCATGCGCAACAAACCGAGGCAGACAGACATACCTGCTCACTGTAGAGAACCTGCACATTTTTGATGATACGACAGTGTTTCTGAAGAATTGCTACAGCCTGAGCCAATGGCATTCCTGGAAGAGGAAGAAGAAAATGTCAAGAGTTACAGATGGTGTCCCAATTTAGCCATGCTGGCAGGAAGCTGTTTGCGCTGCAGGGTCAACATGTGGCAATCCTGGCTGACTGGCCAAGATGAACAACAAGTTCCATCCAGGGAGTACATTTCTCATCAATTATTGGAACATAAGGTTGTTGTTTTTTAAGAAATGATGAGCCACTAAATAGACAATGTTCTGGAGATGAGACACATGATCCCAAAGACTGATCACCAGCAAATGAGCCATTTTTGAAATATGAAACCGTAAAACTCACACCCATCCATCTATCCATTTATTGAGAGTACAGTCAGCCCTTCACATTCGCTGAGTTTAGGGGTGTAGGGTCCCCTGAAAGTGGTAACCCGTAATTTAATTTATTTCTCTAGGAATTTCTAAGTCTGGGTGGTTGTAGGAGAGAATGCCTCTAGAACAGTGGTTCTCAACCTGGGGGTTGCGACCCCCAGAAGGGTTGCCTGGCCATTTCGGAGGGGTCGTGAGGCCGCCTCCATTGGCCCCGCCCTAAGGGCATGGGCCAGGCGAGGGCTCCTTCGTGCGAGGCCTGGCCTCGTGTAAAGCTTGCCTCGCTCTCTCGTCATTCAGCGAGGGTGCAGGGCAGGCAAGTGGTCCTCCACGCGAGGCCTAGTCTTGCGCAAAGCCCGCCTCGCCTGCCTCGCTCTCTCGCCATCTGGCGAGGGTGCAGGGCAGGCAAGGGGTCCTCCGCACAAGGCCTGGCCTCGCGCAAAGCCTGCCTCACCTGCCTCGTGTTCTTGCCATTAGCGAGGGCGCAGGGCAGGCGAGGGGTCCTCTGCACAAGGCCTGGCCTCGCGCAAAGCCCGCCTCACCTGCCTCGCGTTCTCGCCATTGGCGAGGATGCGGGGCAGGCGAAGGGGTCCTCTACACAAGGCCTGGCCTCACGCAAAGCCTGCCTCACCTGCCTCGCCATCCGGGAGTTCTGTGTGGAGGTCTCAGTGGTCTGTGGAAGTCAGCAGTGAATCGGTTGAAGGTACTGCAAATCCATATTTCTTTCTGATTAATCATGATGCTTTAATTATTGTTGAATTTGTTGAATTTGTAACAATTAAAACACATCCTTCATATCAGATATTTACATTACAATTTCTAACAGTAGCAAAATTACAGTTATAAAGGAGCAACGAAAATAATGTTATGGTTGAGGGTCACCACAACATGAGGGACCATATTTAGGGGTCCCGGTGTTAGAAAGGTTGAGAACCACTGCTCTAGAACATGGCCATATAGCCCGAAAAAACCTACAACATCCCAGTGATTCCGGCCATGAAAGCCTTCGACAAAACAATTTCTAAGTCCTGTGTAATGACTCTTTTGGAAAAGCATGACCCTTTAGAGACCATAATCAGAAGTCTCCATAGTCTTTTGGAAACATGACCCTTTTGGAAATTAATTGGAATTTACACCATTTGAAATAATCATAACTTTTTGTAAAGTATGACCTTCCTGAGAAGAGTTAAATACTCTTTTGAGTGAATCTACTTCTACTGATATATAGAAGAGAGATTTCCATGTTTTAAAAGTCCCATATTTCCCAGTGGGCAAAAGTGCACAAGTAAATAAATTGGTTGGCTGACTTTCTTGGATAGTCACAGTCCCTCAAACTGTTGGAGGGCTGGATTATGATTTGAAAAACAAATGAATGAATTCCTATGCACACTGTACATATCTTATTTTTAGTGAAAAAAACACTTTAAAACAACACAATAATTAAAATGAAGAACAATTTAAACAAATATAAAATTATTAGTATTTCAATGGGAAAAGTGTGGGCCTGTTTATGGCTGATGAGATAGGAGTGTTGGTGTTGTAGTGTGCTTTCAAGTCGTTTCATTGGTGGAGTTCAGAATGCTCTTTGATTGTAGGTGAACTATACATCCTAGCAACTACAACTCCCAAATGTCAAGATCTATTTTCCCCAAACCCCACCAGTGTTCACATTTGGGCACATTGAGTATTCATGACAGGTTTGCTCCAGATCCATCACGGTTTGAATCCGCGTACTCTCTGGATGTAGGTGAACTACAACTCCAAAACTGAAGGCCAATGCTCACCAAACCCTTCCAGTATTTTCTGTTGGTCGTGGGAGTTCTGTGTGCAAAGCTTGGTTCAATTCCATCATTGGCAGAGTTCGGAAAGCTCTTTGATATTGTAGGTGAACTATAAATCCCAGCAACTATAAGTCCCAAATGACAAAATCAATCCTCCCCTCAACCCCACCAGTATTCAAATTTGGGCGTATTGAGTATTTGTGCCGAATGAATGAAAATATATCCTGCATATCAGATATTTACAAGATGATTCATAACAAGAGCAAAATTACAGTTGTGAAGTAACAATGAAAATATTGTTAAGGTTGGGGGCCGCCACAGCATGAGGAACTGTATTAAGGGGTCACGACATTAGGAAGGTTGAGAACCGCTGCTCTAGGAATTTCTAAGTCTGGGTTGTTGTAGTTTTTTTCGGGCTATATGTCCATGTTCTAGAGGCATTCTCTCCTGACGTTTCGCCTGCATCTATGGCAAGCATCCAGCATCCAATCTAAGCATTGGTCCAGTGAATGAAAATACACTCTGCATATCAGATATTTACATTACGTTGTATAACAGTAGCAAAATGATAGTTATGAAGTAGCAACAGAAATAATGTTATGGTTGGGGGCCAACATGAGGAACTGTATTAAGGGGTCGCAGCATTGGGAAGGTTGAGAAACACTGACATAAGAGGTAAGGGTATTTCATATATCTATAGGTTGCATAGCTTCTGCAGAAAGCCAATACCTTTCACCAAGTCTGCCCTACATTGCAGCAGCCAGGAAAAACACCACAAACCAAAAATAAGACATTCACTGTCAGCTTAGCAGTGTAACTGATCTAATACAAATGGGAAAGAAAATATATTTTTGCCTCCATTACTTTTCATCTGTCTTTGTAAATGCAAGACACGCAGAATTGTTATTGTGTTGTATTTTTGGAAGGGCTGGGAGAAGGGAGGTAAATTATTACCTGTGGCTTTGATCCCGAAAAGGCTGCAGCGCTGGCTAACCTATCAGTATTCACCTCCCAGTCTCCTGTTTCTCACGCATCAGGTCTGCTCAAGTAACTGTGTAATCATCGCAGGAAGAGAACAAGCTTTTCTAAGCTGAACTGTTCAAATCATTTAGCAGCCAGAAAGCAACGGAGAGATGGGCTTGGCCTGAAAGCAAGCAGGGGGGAACCCATTGGTGAAGAAAAGGAGCTGCTTGAGGAAGACAGTAGTCTATCCACATTTGCAGGTTCGATTACACTAAGGGCCCTTCTAGACAGGCCCTATATCCCAGGATCCGATCCCAGGTTTTCTGTTTATCCCAGATTATCTGGCAGTGCGGACTCATATAATCCAGATTAAAGCGGAAAATCTGGGATCAGATCATGGAATATAAGGCCTGTCTATTTCTGTTTTATTGACTACTATCCATCCCCTGCCACACGTTGCTGTGGCCCAGTTTGGTGATCTGGAAAATAATTAGAAAATGTTGGATTTTAATATACTGTATATACTCAAGTATAAGCCTAGTTTTTTCAGCCCTTTTTTAAAACTGAAAAAATCCCCCTCGACTTATATTCGAGTCAAGGTTGTTTATTATTTTACTCTGTTGTTATAATTATTATTTATTATTACATTTATTATTTTACTTTATTTATTACTAGCCGTCCCCTGCCACACGTTGCTGTGGCCCACATGGGGGTTCTGTGTGGGAGGTTTGGCCCAATTCTATCGTTGGTGGGGTTCAGAATGCTCTGTGATTGTAGGTGAACTATAAATCCCAGCAACTACAACTCCCAAATGTCAAGATTCTATTTTCCCCAAACTCTACCAGTGTTCACATTTGGGCATATTGAGTATTCTTGTAGAGTTTGGTGCAGATCCATCATTGTTTGACGCACAGTGATCTCTGGATGTAGGTGAACTACAACTCCAAAACCAAAGGACACTGCCCACCAAACCCTTCCAGTATTTTCTTTGGTCATGGGAGAACTGTGTGCCAAGTTTGGTTCAATTCCATCTGGTGGGTTCAGAATGCTCTTTGATTGTAGGTGAACTATAAATCCCAGCAACTACAACTCCCAAATGTCAAGATTCTATTTTCCCCTAACTCCACCAGTGTTCACATTTGGGCATATTGAGTATTCTTGTAGAGTTTGGTCCAGATCTATCATTGTTTGACTGCACAGTGATCTCTGGATGTAGGTGAACTACAACTCCAAAACCAAAGGACACTGCCCACCAAACCCTTCCAGTATTTTCTGCTGGTCATGGGAGAACTGTGTGCCAAGTTTGGTTCAATTCCATCGTTGGTGGGGTTCAGAATGCTCTTTGATTGTAGGTGAACTCTTTGATTGTAGGTGAACTTTTGCTTTGATCGGGATATAAAGATCGGGATATAAAGGCAACTGCAGTTCCCAAATGTCAAGGTCTATTGCCCCCAAACTCCACCTGTGTTCATAGTTGGGCATATGGAATATTCATGCCAAGTTTGGTCCAGATCCATCACTGAGTGCACCGTGCTCTCTGGATGTAGGTGAACTACAACTCCAAAACCAAAGGACACTGCCCACCAAACCCTTCCAGTATTTTCTGTTGGTCATGGGAGAACTGTGTGCCAAGTTTGGTTCAATTCCATCGTTGGTGGGGTTCAGAATGCTCTTTGATTGCAGGTGAACTATAAATCCCAGCAACTACAACTCCCAAATGACAAAAATTTTTTTGAGTGAAGGACATACATTGGGTTGTTAGGTGTCTTGTGTCCAAATTTGGTGTTAATTCGTCCAGTGGTTTTTGAGTTCTGTTAATCCCACAAATGAACATTACATTTTTATTTATATAGATTCTAAAGCCTTTGACTGTGTGGATCATAATAACAGGGGCAGGATACAGGGAGTGTACAACTCCTCTGTTGCGCCAGC